AGTAATAAATAGGAGCAGGGTACAAAAAGAACACAAAAGTTGAACATGTAACACTGGGGCAAGGTAATGACAAAACAAGGATGAACACACAAACAAACGAAAGTACAAAGAAACTAACAAAAAAACAACAAAACAACAAAGCCAAAGCTATACAAAAATACACACACAAAGCAAAACAAACCAACAAACGAAGCCGAAGCAATAACAAGAAGCGAAGCGAATACCAAAACCAAACAGGACCGAAGTCAAACAAAAGGCCTCTTCTTTCTGAAAGCCTCCATGTTATATAGTGAATAAGATGTGTTCTGATTGGCTGAGGGCTGTTTGATGATGACATCATATTGAAACAGTGGTGTGATGGTTGGCCAATGGGGAAGGGAGAACAATCAAGGGTCAACAGTGTGGACATATCAGAAAAACACACACAGAACACACACTGGGACGTGACAATTAGTATGGTGATGTATTTTGAATTGTAATTTAATTAAACTTTTATTGTATATCACTCATTGCACAATATTGGCAATCTCACAATTTCATTGTATCACTTGTATATTCATTATATAATACATTGAATTGCTACTTAAAAAGTAAAATAAAAAGCAAAATAAGTAAAATACAGTGTAAGTCAACCTAAAAAATGGCAAAACAGCTAGGCAGACACACATTAGAGGTGTAATGCTTTTGTAGTGCAGCGCAGTGTGAGAACAATGTCCATAGTGGGTAAGCAAGGAATCATTTATTGTGAAAAGGAGGAATCCAACTGAACAGAGCTCAGTATTTGTGGTTGATTTCACAACAGTGTAAAATAGATTAAAGTTCTAAAAAAGAGGAGTCTTGAGGAGACATTGAAAGGCTGTCCAGGAGGGAGGGGTTCTCATTTCAATGGGTAGCTCATTCCAGCATTGTGGAGCCAGAGATGGAATTGACACAGAAGTGGGAGAATGAAGAGGAGGAACATAGGGAAAGATGAAGGACTGGCTGAGGAAGAGAAGAATGAAAAAGAAATGAGTAACAGAAACACAACAGAGCTGGCAGCCGAGTGTGTGGTCTCCCTCCACAGCCTGAGGGCAGACAGTGATTCTGTCTCACAAATATGTTATGTGTGATGTATGTAAATGTACAATAATATGTTTGTACTGCAAATGCTGTGTAAATTGTATCTGCTTTCATAAGATGCTAATTTATGGGCCATGCCAATATAGCCTTTTCAATCTGAATTTAAAGAAAAGACCAAACAAGAGAATTGTGAATGAGACGGAGGAGGAGAAGAGCACTGGTTGGGACACCAGGCAAGAGGGAGTTACAACAGTCCAACCAGGTGGGTGAACTTAGAAGCTGTGTAAGCAAGTTGGTGAAGAAGAAGTGGATTGTAGGGGCTTTGCTTGGGAAGAAGTGGGCCATAGTAGGGAAGTGATGGGAAGAGGAGAGGGGTCTTGGCAGAGGAAGAGGGGGGAGAGGGTGATGGAATCAAGTGAAAGAGAGAAGGAGAGGTCCACAGGGGGAAAGGAAGGGAATGAAAGCAGGTCAGATTTAGAAAGATTCAGTTCCATACGATGGGATTACATCTAGGAGGAGACAGTTGAGAGACAGACAATAATAGTGGAGAAGACAACCAGCTTCCTGAGTAGAAAGAGATATAGAAAGGCAGTAGCTGCAGGAGTGTGGGAGTGTAGCAGAGGAACACGTTGCTGTTTTGTTTATAATGGAAAGACTGATGTCGAGGTCACCAAGCAAGATTACTGGGGTAGAGAGATGGAAGAGAGAAATGAGTACCTGTGAGAGGAGCAGGAGGCCAATATGGAACAATGATAAGTGGTTGAATATGGTTAAATCAATGACATGAAACTCAGACTTTACTTAGAGCAATTGTCAGTTTTATGGCAATTGTGAGTGGGCAGCAGGGGGTAATACAGTCACACCAACTCCTGGTTACAAGAAGTCAAACTACTAAAAATATCACTGAAAGGAATTTAAAGCAGGTACTTACGCAAGATCCAGCTGAGAGTGTCAAGAGGTGACTGACTCTTCTGAATGAGCTCAGTGGAGCTCGTAATATAGGACACATTCAGATATTAATTTCAGTAGCTGTAGAGTAGTAGTGTGATGAAGAGAACATGAATTTAAAATATTGATCATATCAGCATGAATATGCTATTCATTCATAATGCAATATGGCAACCAAATAAGCATTAGGGTTGTTCATTTAAACAGGAAATATTCGTTAATGAATAACGGCTATTTTAAATATGTTTACACAGTAGAACAGGATTGTTACAGTTGTTCCTCTATTTAAGTCATAATATTAATGTTATACTGTATAATGATTACCACATCCACAGTGTGTTGGCACAGAATTGGTAGTACACTGACACTGTGTCATGATCGTAAGCCCTCCTCTTAAGGGTGCTCTTTCCTGCTCTTTCACTTTGATGTTTTGATGTTGATTTTGTGCACCTCCCTCCTATCCTCCTATAAGCCAGATGCTCACACTATTCTGGGCTCAGCATTGGAAGATGGATGCCCGGAAGTCCAGGAGTGGCTCGACCATCTGGGTCCTGGGCTCGGAGCGCCTGGCCTCGTTAGCCCATTTTTATCCCCCGTCCCCGCACCCGATCCCATTCCGGTTTTTAAACATTGTCTTGTCTTTGTCTCATTTGGATTACCTGGTTCTGGACTGTTGGACTACATCCCGGATTTCCCTTTGGACCCCCTTGGACTTGTTCGCCTGGACCCTCCCCCCCGAGCACTGGTGCACAGTCATCACGCCCCCCTGTTTATCAACCTGCCCAGTTCCTCGTCGTCTCCTCCCCGTGTCCGTTCACTGTCTTCTGGATTATACAGTCTGCCTAGGGTCCTGACCAACGCATCGTTACACACAAATAATTAAAAATTATATTATTAATTTAAAAAGCATATCAAGAGCTAATATCTGTCATCTTGAAATTAGCACACAGCAAGTCACACAGGAAATTCACAGAGTGTGAGCACTCTTTGCTACAGTACATATGGAAAGTGGTGCAGTTTAATGCAGCGAGGTTTGTGAGAAATGATTAATTATGAATTTCAGTTATTCTGTTTCAAATAACTACATTTCAAATAACTACACTTAATATTTGTGCCTTAATTAAGTGTTTATTAACTGTTTTCACAAGGAATTGATGGAAATGAAAATGTTATGAAAAACTCATAAAATTCCAAATCTAGAGGAATTCATAGCCTACAATATGGATATCATTCTGTTTGAATTTGCCAACATTTTTGCCTTTATTTATAAACAGTGCAGAACATCATGTGAATTCATCCATTTGGAAAGGAATAGGGAACCACAAAATTACAAAATAAAGAAGAATACATACTCCCAGACTTAGCCAACAGTGGTTTTAGTCAATAGTGGTTAATTTAAGATTATGAATGTTTAAATTTGCATGCTTTATATATGAGATCAACATCAGCTGGTATGAATTCAGAATGCATAAGGATTATTAAATAGACACAGGGTACCATGGCTGAATTCATAAACTGCATAACGCATATACAATATATATTTTAGGATATAAAAGATATATATATAAAAGTATAGAAATGAACACAAGCAATGTATTTTAAAATTGTATTACACATCACTAAGGCTTCATTTAGATTATCTAGTATAATATTGGCTAACACGTGATAAATTATTGCTGCTCTGGTCAGTCCAAAGAAGAGCATCTAGATACATTCTGGTGCTTCTGGGGATGTCTTACACTGACAGTCTGAAGGAACTGGACCTTTACAGTCTTGAAAAGACAAGATTACAAGTGTTTAAAGTCAACCCAGTAGAATTCTCAACCCAAAGGGCACAAGAGGAAGTGGTTTCCAGAGTTTTATCTTATCTTATAACTTATTATATGGTCAAGGTTAGAGTGAGGGTTAGTCTTGGGGAATCAGGATGTTACCACTTTCTCCAAGGTTGAGGTTAAGGCAGAGGTTTACTGTACTGTCGTTTTGTGCAGTATTAAAAAAAAAGTGGATTTTTCAGGATTCTTTCTCCAGAAGCCTGGATTCACCTTTAATATTTCAAAATTTTAAAACTCTAGTACAGCTGCCTGTATATTATAATTAATAATAATAATTAATAATTTCTTACACTTATATAGCGCTTTTCTGGACACTCCACTCAAAGTGCTTTACAGGTAATGGGGACTCCCCTCCACCACCACCAATGTGCAGCATCCACCTGGATGATGCGACGGCAGCCATAGTGCGCCAGAACGCTCACCACACACCAGCTATCAGTGGGGAGGAGAGCAGAGTAATGAAGCCAATTCATAGATGGGGATTAGAAGGAGGCCATAATTGGTAAGGGCCAATGGGAAATTTGGCCAGGACGCCTGGGTTACACCCCTACTCTTTTCGAGAAACGCCCTGGGATTTTTAATGCCACAGAGAATCAGGACCTCGGTTTTACGTCTCATCCAAAGGACAGCGCCTGTTTTTACGGTATAGTGTCCCCGTCACTATACTGGGGCATTAGGACCCACGTGGACTGCAGGGTGAGCGCCCCCTGCTGGCCCCACTAACACGTCTTCAAGAATTATCCATTCTGTGGTGCATTTTGTGATTGACTTCCCTGATTGACAGGCCTGAGAATATGAGGAATGCCACTAATCTGTCAATTTACCCCCTTTTTAAAAAAAAAAAGTTGAACTGGCATATTCTTTGTTTCTATCTGAGGACCCATTAATAACAAATGTGAAGGAAAGGTTTGATCTACGTGGCTATAACGAGATTTATATTGCATGTCTTTGCTTCTTTAAACATAATCCATATTTTTCAGATGACTGAGATGCGTTCTGACCATTCCTAACCTTATATTCTCTCTCTCTATTTATAAATATGTTTTATTTTTAAAATGTCCAGTTTACTTTACACAGCTCTTGGAAGAAGTTTAACAAATAATAAAAAAACACAAATATAGATAAAAATGTATTTGTTTATTTAAAACATTTTATGGACACATTGAAAACAATGTTTTAATAAATATATATATACAGACTTCTACACATATAATACTCTATAAATATAAAAGTATATGAGTGCAGTAAGCACACCTCTTAATAAAGATAATAGAAGAAATTAAAATGACACAATGGTATTTTTTCTTTTCACATACTGTATGTATTTTGGTGAAAAAATACTTCTTCAATTTTTCAGTAGCTTAAAGCTTTTTTTCTGTAATATATGGACTCAACATTGAGTCCTCTTAGCACACATACAGTACATAAGTGTACATTCATTACCTACTGTATACATTCGATATCGCATAAACTGTGGATTGTTTATGTTATTAATAGTACTTCACAAAGCAAATGTCATGTTTCAGGCTTGTCCTGTCAGTCTTTTGAACAGAATAAAAGGAACAGGATGTGTTTTTATTCACTCCACTGTCAGTAATTCTTCAGTCAGTTAACAAAAGATGGTTTAGTTATTAATTTAAAATGATATGCTGCTAGCAAAAGACTACATGAGAAACTGCGATGTTCATGAAGGAAGCTTAAATGTAAACTCTGACCTTTTGTTTGAGAACAGAACAACAGTAATAACATTACACTCTCTGATAATGTACTCCTCCCTGTATTTAAATTAATCTGCTAATTAAAGTGATCATTTCCCTATCATATACAATCCTGGTGCAAAACTGTATACCTAATAGGTGGAAGCTATAAAAAGTTTGGGATGGTGCAACCAGTTGTATTCCTTTCCAAAACAATCCACTCCTTTTCAAGATTTCCTGAATTGTATAAAGACAATACTTGGTCTTTGAAAGGTGTTTTTTGGTTTCTTGTCAGGGATAAAATGAGTATTTTTCCACTTTGACATAAAACATATTGAAACAATTCGGTTGACAATGAAACCACAATTTCTGACTAGATGTTTACAAACATATAAAAATAAACTCAGGCAACGTCTAAAACCGATACCATCCTAAGTGGAAACAACAATGAAGTGAATTTAAAGTTGCCAAAAAAAGGCACTTTATGCAAAGTGTTGTAGGGGTATGTAACAAGTTAGCCAACCATGTAGAAATACTTGGATGAGATCCAAGATCAATTAGAATGGATTAGGTGGGATGAAAGGCCTCCCATCCTTGGTAATGTTCTTACAGTATATTCTACTTGTCTAAATTACTTAGCTGATCTCCAAGGTGACTAAGAAGCAACATAATGACTTAACTATTAAACCAGCCAGATTTATGAATTTTCAACAGCAGCCTTGTAATTCAGACCATATAATAAACGGGAAGCATTTTGTGTTTGATTAATAAGATTTAACATTATGCAACCATATACACCATACAAATAAATTAATGATAACAACAAGCTGCATCTGGAAATGAACAAAGTAAGAGAATCTGATACAAATGCCTGGCTGCAAGGAACCTCTACTCTTTGTCAAATGTTATACTTCTTTCATGATTTCTTGATTCACTTTTTAAGAACTTTGAAGGTACACTCTATAGACCTCACACTTAAATAAAAGGAATCTTTTGAAACATTTCAACGGCATTTCAAAATTGCAGCATTAAGTCCAATATATCACACATTCTTCATTTCTAATCATTTATAAAACATAGACATAGAATTAATATATGGCTATAATATAGTGGGATGCACATTGGCTAGGTGTGCTTATATAAACAAGTGCTTAAGTAAAACCAAGGGCTTAAACATAAAACTGAATCCTGTACAACAAGCAAATATTTATAAGTCCTTGAAGATGTCCTTGAGGTGTTGCAAACTTTTGTAACCTATTGTATGTTTGCAGCAGTAGGCTACACTTAAATGTCTTGATAAGGAGATGCCAGTCTAACTTTTATCACCAATGGCCATTTGTCTTTTTATCTCCACTGGGAGACTTTAAGAACAATGGAGATTTTGCGGAGATTTAATGTCAATGTTTTAACGTACATGCTGTGTTTTAAGAAGAAAGGCAGGCAGAAAACAAGGAAACATTGGAGCAGCATCACAGAACAAATGAAAACAATACATACTGTATCTCGCAGCCATTTACATAACAGGGATGTTTCAGGTCTTGTGTGTCAGAGGTTTGTTAACAGAAGATCTCCTGATATACTTATCAGTGGTAACTTGCTGGAGATCTACATGCAGTTCTCTGTTGCTTCTTTTCTGATCAAACGAAGCCTCACCTTTTCCACCATGTTTAAGGATGTGGTGACCCAAAAAGAACAAGACTATGATCATCACCACAATGCACACTATGATTCCAAGAAGCCCTCCGGCTGTTACCACCGGGGGAATATCTGTGGAATACGGAGATGTGGGAAAAACTAGATCGGTTGTAGGAATGGGTGCTGTGCCTGAGCCTTCTTCGGGACTTTCAGGGACACAAAAATATTTGTCTTTTAGATAGTATCCTTCATGGCAGTAACACACATAACCCCCAAAAGTGTTATTGCACAGTTGCGGACAGAAGGTTTCAGATTCACATTCATTAATATCAACACAGATCGTAGCATTTTCATCATCCATAATATATCCTTCTGGGCAGGTGCATTGCCAGGGTTTGTATGGATCACACAGAGCACGACATTCATGTGAGATACAAAGCAAATCACACTTAAGAGGATTTTCAGGATTTGGGATGAACTCATCAGAGCAGAAACACTTGTAGCTCCCAGGTGTATTCTCACACAGGTTATGTTCACAAGGAGCATTCTGACACTCATCCACATCTCGACATTCACCCTGAATATCTTCATACCCATCTGGGCATCTGCACTCAAAACTGCCAGGCATGTTCACACACACCTTCTCATGGCCACAAATTCCTGGAAGTTCGCAGTCATCTATGTCTCTACATCGCTTCCCATCCTCTTCCAGCTTGAACCCATGGTCGCACAGGCATGTATAGCTGTCATTGTGATTCACACAGAGGTGTTCGCAGTCTGAATTGACACACAGATTCATTTTATTACAGTTTAGTTTATTACCTTTCAGTTCCTCGTTAGGTGGGCAAATACACTCTGGTTTACCATTCTTCATTCTGCACTGGTGCTCACAGCCACCGTTTTCAAACTCACAACTCCAAGGTCCCTGAATCCAGCTATTAGTCTCATCAGCCACACATAAGACTTTGAAATCAGAAGGTTTCAGTGTTGCAATGCTTCCAGGAGGAATGGAGGCGAGATCCTCTCCCTTAATTCCTAAAGGAGTTTTGTATAAAATAAACTCATCATAGTCTTGTGGCAGAGGGTCACAGGTTTTATTGAAATTGTACTCACACAGAAATCCATCCACTTCATCCTGACAAGACCTTTCCTTCCACTTCAGATCGCTGGAAACTGAGACACACTGCCGAGAGCAGGCTGAGACACTGTCTTCCCAGTTGGTAAAGTCTGTGTTTTCGTCTTCTGTTACCCACACGTATCCTCTAAGTTTAGCGGTGTTGTCGGTGCATCGCCCTGCAGGACGATGAAGCCCGATCCAGAAATCTGCTTTTGAATTCGCTATTAACAAAGCGAGTGCGTCATTTGATACCGATGATCGGACTGTCATTAAATGCCCGGCTTGTCTTTCACATATTTCATTTGCAAAAACAAAATCCTTTGAATTTTGCATTAAGGTATAGCAGGAGTTCCCGATGCACAATCCGGATATCGGGGACTGACCTACTACTTGCAATAAGAATTGTGTAGCGGTCAGAACTTTGAGTAAATCCTTCATCATTTGTGGTAAAATATTTTCTTTCCTTAGCAGCTTGAGAAGAAAGTAATTTCTTTACACCAGAGTTCTGGTTCGATGAGCCATAGCTCTCTGCGCCTCCTTTATAAGCGTCCCACTTCTATGACTCGTAAGAGGAAGGAAGTTCCTTTTTAAATATGCAATTGCTACATCTCATTCCCAGTTTTTTTTTTGTTTTATTGTGCTTTGCAAACACCGCAATGCAGGATTCTGGGAGTATTACAGTATAAATAGGCTTCGGAGCAGTTTAAAGATGCAGTTCATATAAATATGCATTCAAGATTATGTTGTCTTCCTTCGTCTTCTTGTCTTTTAATTAAACGAAAATAAAAAAATTGTGTTCTTGCTAGGGGTAAGACGCTGTGGTAAAGTCAAGCATAATATATAGTATTATGAAAAACACTAAGCCTGTATATTAATTAAAAAACATTAATCCATCAGTCTAAAAATTCATCATTAGAAGAAAGCTTATTTCCCCAGTCATTAACGTGCCCTTATTTTAAGTTTATTACGTTTTTAATATTATTAGGTTACACATATTGTTTGTAAGCATAACGAAATTTATGAATATATAATTAAGCTGTACACACTTCATATACAACGTACTTAACATATTTCGGAGTATCCTGCACAAGGATGGAAATCCCTTGTTTCTTCACTGAACTGTAAGGGGCGCTGTTAATCGCTATTTGTAGCATTTCTAAACCATGACAAAACTCGAAAAAAATCAACGGTTTCTGTGGACCCAGGTGGGACGATCTCAAGAGAAATAATAAAAAGGAAAGACGAGTTGCTTCCTTATACACATTCAAAAGGTTGTGAATTTGAAAGAATGAGAAACCCACAAAAGTAACTAAGGTGAATAGATGCAGGACTAAAGATTTCAGTCCTCATGAATGCAAACATTTTTATTTTAAATATTTTAAATAAATAAAAAACAGAGCAACAAACACAAAGTCAAAGTTTAAAAGGTGAGGGCACATTCTAAAAACAACATTTGGACGTAGAAAAACCAGACTATGTTGTCATAGCTTTTGAGCTTTCAAAAGGTGATCTGCGCCATACATGTACAGTACAAATGAATACAATCACTGACGCGCAGCCTGCTCGGAGTTTCCCTGACGGTTTCTCGCGTGCTTTTTCAATGTATTACTCAAGCTCTTTATCTCAAATAGCGTTACAAGTGAAAGTTTAATTTGATTTCACAATTGCTTTGATAATTTATAACACCATAGATAAATTCCACCCGAAAGCAATAATAACGGGTGGATTTGGTAATAAAAATCTTACGTGTGTTGGTTTAAAACAAAAACAACACCTCTATTCCCACACTACTTTCTTCGTTACTGTCTTATTTCTACCCAATCATTTTTCAAGCAGATATTAGGGTTATTTCTTACACACTTAAATGTCCCATTTTTAAAACTTTAAACAAAAAAAATGTTTTAAAACATCTACTGTATTCTTTTTGAAAATGTGCTTAACACTTTTAAAATTACGTGTTCCCGAACTATCGAAAAAAAAAAGATTAAACACTCATTTATACTGTAAAGCAGAAACGTGATAGTGAACATTTGGATTGCAAAGGAATTTTACTTCGTCGAATTCCCAAGGCTTTCGTCGAAAAATAGCTTTAGAACTTATAGATGTATGTGGAACGATGCCTATCAGAGAGACTATGCATATCGATGCTTAACGGGGAATAGGTTTGCAATTTTCTTGGTGTATGGTTAATGTTACGTAAGAGTAATGATTTTTTTCCATTTAAATTCTGGCAGATTGTGATGGAAACTAAGTCCAGCATAGAAGCAAAATGGAAATATCAGATACTGATACAGATGTTGTACTACTGATTTTGTTCTGAAAATGTATTTGGTCTCTTCAAATGTTAGGGAGGAAATGCTTTGTTATCACAAATGTAAGACATTTCTCCTAAGTATCCCACCTGGTGGGATGAAATTTAGTGATGGAATATCAATGGATATTTATGTCTCCAAGATTTACCATTTGACATTATACAATTTCCTACCTTTCTTCTCCCTAGTGATTCCAACACTAAATGTTTTCATTTTGTGAATTCAATCCATACCTTTGTGCAAAGAATATTTGCGTTGTTCTACATCATTACAATGTTCAGCTAAGCTTATCTTTTAACATTTTCTAATGAATGGCTGTGGACTGGCATCAGTTTTAAAGTCTTTTCCTCCCTTGCTTTTAGGATTATCCTGTGCGTTTGATTTATATAGTATGAACGTAATCTAATACTGTGTATCATGTATTATATGAAGTAATACAGTATTTTCTTAGGAACTGACAGTAAATGTTGGTTTTGTAATAAACTGTCAAAAGTACAGACGGAACATTGATTGTAATGTAATGTTGATTGTGATTGTAATACAGTTACTGTGGCAACAGTGAAGGAAATAAAGCATGATGATCATTTATCCACAAGTACTTTTCACAAGGAGGGGTATTTTGAAAAGGAAATTGCAAGGAAAACTGTTTCTGCAGACCACAATCAACAGGCACAGAGGGGAATAAAGTAGCTTAAAAATGATAGTGGTCATCACAGGTAAAGAAAAGCATTTCAACATGAGCAGAGCAATTATTTTAAAGTCTAGGGTGACCTAAAATGGCTATTAGTTATCTTCAACAACATAAAATGATGGAGAAAACTACAGTACCTTTCAAAACACCTTTATAAAGAAAAAGTTACTAGAATGGACATTATCCTGAAAAAAAATCCCCCCAAAAAGAAATGTGGAAGTGTTCTGTGAACACATGAACACTGAACCTTCAGATTCACAGTAGCAGATGTTATGTGAGAAGAAAGGTAGGAAATTGTATAATGTCAAATGGTAAATCTTGGAGGCATAAATGTAAAGATATTTTGTTATTTTGACAGTAAGGAGTAGCTATAGTATAGATCCAGCATTGTTCCATTCTTAAAACGAATTCAATATGTTCAGGAGGGAAACTTATACTGTATATAATTGTCATATAAAATAAAAATGCCCAGCTATCTACGTTGGGGAAACCGTTAGGGCTGTGAAGATTAAAGATTTCTACAAGCCCATAGTTTCTCATTTCACCTGAGATGGCCATGGTCACACTGATCTCCCCTTCTGCTTTCTCAAAGAAGGGTTTCTTAACTCCTAAAGCAGAAAGACATCAGAAACAAAATTTATCCTGAAATTTGGTTCGCGCCTTCCCCCTTCTCTCAGCGACAGACTTGTTTTTGTGTAATCTTCTCTATTCACATGGAGGTTTTGACCTTCCACCTCTCTGCACCTCTCTCCACTTCGCACCACCTGAGTGACCTCTCTGCCTCTCCCCTGCTCCCACCTCCTCCTCTCTCCCAGCTTTTGTTCTCCTGTGCTACAGTATTTCATCTTTGCTGTCTGCCCTGTCTTTCTCACACCCAAAGAAGCCAAAAGGTTGTGTTTGCTTTTTTCTCTTTTCAGCATGGAGTAAACCTATTTTTTGTTCCTAAAATAAAAATATATGTAAAAAGCTCTTTTCTTCAGGATAATGGACTTAAATGCACAACCTGATGGAAACCAAATTACTTATATAATGGAGGGCATGAAGCTGTGAATTTGGTAAACTAGCCTTCTGAGTACTGTGACCCTCACAAGAACAAGGGAACAGATATTGTGTGGATAGGTGACTTTCCTTCCTCTAGTCAAAAAGATTGGGAAACTGTGAAAAAAGCTTTATAAAAGTGTGACACAATGTTGGATATCAGCATAAAAATATTTGGATAATGGAATTGCTAACATGAGTTATTTTGCTGACTTGGTAAAATGGCAGTAAAAAACTTTTGAAAGTTTATTTTTACTGAGTCAATAATATAACTCTCATACAAATCAAAAGCCTACACCCGTCTTTATAAACTTTTTTTGTTCAAAAGAATTGTTCACCTGGCACCAACAGTTCCAATATTGGTGTATATGGGAATTAAATTACTCAATATTCACAGGTAATTAAATAGATTTGTAACTTTATATTTTGTTAGCTACCTCCTTCTATCTCTATGCCCATTTTGTAAAGTACCTGAACCTTCTAAATGTATAATTATTGTATAAAATTAATGTATAAATTAATGTTTTACTTAATTGGTGTCTCTAAAATGTCACCCACCTATGTGTGTGTGCTCTGTGATGGCCTTGTATCTGGGTTAGGCTCCAGCTCATCACAAACCTGTCTTGGACTGAGCAGTTATTTAAACTGGATGGATATACAGTATACAGAGGTGGCACAGTGGTTAGCATTGCTGCCCTACAGTGCTGGAACCCTGGGTTCAATTTTCAGTTGAACTGTCTTTGTGGAGTTTGAGTGTTCTCTACGTGTTCATGTAGGATTGCTCCAGTTTCCTCCCACAGTCCAAAGACACATTGATAGGTTAATTAGTTTCTAGGAAAACGGACATTGGTGTTAGTCTGTGCATGTCGGTGACAGTGTCTGGTGTCACATCCAGGGTGTATCCTGCCTTCTGCCCATTGCTTGCTGGGATAGGCTCTGGATTCCCTGTTACCCTGAAGTGGAAAAACTGGTTAGAAAATGGACTGGATATATAGCTGGATACAGTATATACTAAATATATACAGTATGTCTAGATTTAAATCAAGGAATCTAGTGCACTAACACAAGATATAAGACTTGATTTCTGACTGGAGGTCTAACAATAGGAATGTTAAGAATTACAGACTCAACATCAACACTTTTAAGTAGCACTTCACACACTTTGAATATTACATGAAATGTAATGCAAATTGATGTTATAAAAGACATATTATAAAATTGTGGTAAAATAAACCAAATGATGTGACTAAAAAGTAGAAAGCTGTAGTTTTTTTTTAATCCCTTTACTAACAACAGATTCCTATTTAACTGGATTAGTACACCACCTACTTTTAGTTTTTAAATTGCAAGTAAATGAATCTGTATTTTTAGCAACGCATCCAGATAACATTTAGAGAAGTTAGGTAGTGCTATCAAAATCAAGAAGAAAACCTGTGAAAGAGACTGGAAGCTTATATGTGCGTTGCTAAAAATAAGTAAGATTGTTCATTGGAATGATTCATGAACAAATGTTTAGCTTAATTTTGTAAAGGATTATATTTTCAAATCGGAAATCTTGGGTAAATTATTTACTGTAGAAAAGTAAAACAATAGACAATACAAGATTAAATAAAAGCAAGAAAGACACACAAGCCATGCCCTGTGTGGTACACATGAATATCATTTGCAAATAAACCAAATTAATTTAATTTTGTATAGAAAGTACTCTTTGTTGTGTCACAATTTAAATTGACTGCATAGAATTAAAGTTCCATGTGTTAATTGACAATTATAGGCATTCTTTCAGTTTTACACTAACAAGGAGCACACATAGATGAATAGGCCAATCATTTGAAAAACAGATACAAAATACAACGTTCCTTTATTCCCACAGTTGTATAGGGAGGACATTGAATGTTAGTTATTATTATCATAAAACCAAACATAACTTTCTAGGTAAATGTCAATTGTCTAGTTCATATTTTGTATCGATTCACTCTCAACAACAAATGGAAAAAAATATTTTTGTTACTACAGTAAATCAATTGTCTACGGTGATCTCTAACTGTCTAGTGCTAATACTAAAATCAAAGATAACTGTAACCAGCATCCGAACTTATTTTCTGAAACACTTTTTTAATCTCAGGACCAAATTGAATAAAGGAAGCTTTGTTTACTTGGTTTTTCTTTTCTTTTCACAATATAAACCACAAGATTTACCCTACATTGGGCAATAAAGAAATCAGACTTTTAAACACGTATAATTATTATACGATAAAATTACATTGTTTTCCTTTTCCTAGTTGTGAGATTTATCCTGCCAGGTGACACTGGCATCTTTAAAATATATTGTAACCATTGTGCAAATTATATCAATCTATACTTCTAATTCTAGGGAAATCTACTGATCAAGACCCTATTATTTTGCACCCAAAGGTAGGTCTTTTGGAGTAATCATTTTACTCAAAGTTTTTTATGTTAGGAATTGTATTTCCTTTAGTAATAATGTATTTCATATTTGTGATTTCTGTAAAATTAATTTAAGAGTAACATCCATCAATCTTCAACAACCGTTTTTCTGTTGCCTAACTCTGTGCAAGGCGCAAAACGGGAATACACTCTAATCCATTGCAGGCCCCAAGTGTGGACTTTTTGACACGCCATCTGACAAAGCAGCTGTCTTGACCTGCGGGAGTCAACAGGATTATCCAGAGAAAACTCTCACGGACAAGAAGACAGCGTGCAAACTCCACACAGAAAGTACTCCAGGCAGTAATTGAACACAGCAGCGTTATAATTGCAGTGTCACTAGTCCCCGCTTGCAAATAATAGTTAATCTAAAGTACCTTTACTCTCTATTGACATAACTAAAGAGGGCTTAATTCACAGTGAGTAAACAGAAGTTTTATGAATTAGCTTTCAGTTTATCTTCATTGCAATGCCAATCTGCATTATTTTAAGCAAATTTCATGCCTGTGATACTCCAAATCATAAACTAAAATTAACTAATAAACTCATTGCAAATACTATATTTTAATAAATATCACTCACAGACAGATTGTTTACAAGTCAAAAATATTTTATTCATTTATAATTTCATTTGCCTTTCCAAAAAGTGAATCGAATAATAATTCAGATACTTTCCAGTTTGTTAAAAAGAACCTTACTTAAATCATAAAATGCCCAAGCTAAATTTTGTCAAACAACATCTGTGTTGTGTTTAATGTCTGCTTCTGCATCATCTTTGTGTTGCTGCAGATTTTCAGTTGGTGTATCTTTTCCCGAAGACATCCAGTGATACTTGTCTGTAGCCGGGCTATCATTTTTGTCTGCTTTTCTATCACACTTGCGGCGACAGAGCACAATAGACGATGCAACAGCAATCAAAAACAATACTGCAGCAACTGACCCCATCACAGAAGCCAGTACCCACGTATTTGCCCTATCACCCTCCACAGTGTCTTGCTCATCTGGTTTCCTGGGGACTTTAGAATGATTGTACTCTTTGATCATTGCGGTGGATGTAATCCGCACTTCAGTTCTAATACTTGTCTTTGCTTTTTCAGTACTTTCTGTGGTAAAACTGTGTTCAGATGATAAACGTGGGTCTACGGCCGTCACTGTTGCAGATTCCACACTATACTGTACAGTTGGATTCTGTACATTTTTGCTCCTGTCGTCTGTAGGTTCAGGGGTAGGTACTGGTGTCGTGTCCGGAATGCAGGTGTTGCCATCGGGTGCTATTTTGTAATGTTCCTTACAAGAACACTTATAGCTTCCCTGCGAATTAACGCATCTTTCCTCACAAGGGCTGTTAACGCATTCGTCAATATCGTTGCAGCTGCGTTTGTCTTCAGACAGGTGAAAGCCCGTAATACAATAACAACTGAAAGATCCTTGCATGTTAATGCACCCCTGTGAACATTGAGAGGTATCGCACTCGTTTATGTCCTGGCATCTCCCGTCTACCATTTCGAACCCGTTTCTGCAAATGCAGCTGAAGTTACCATGTTTATTTATGCACAGGTGGTCGCAGGGATTGGATGAGCATTCGTCAATATCGCTGCAGTTTCGTTGGTTCTCAGTGAGTTGGAATCCTTCTGGACATATACAACGGAAACTTTCAAAAGTCTGCTCACACCGAAACTCACAAGGAGATCGCTGGCAATGATCTATTTGGATGCAAGTCGCTTTGTCCTCGGCGAGACTGTATCCCTCCTTACACTCACATCGAACACCTCCGTTAACGTTGTCTGTGCATTTATGGTTACAACCCCCGTTTTCGAACTTACAGCCCTGTTTATCTGAGTCGCAAAATGGACCATGAGAAGTCCATCCAAAAAATCCATTCATTTCTTTACAAACGGCTTGAGCATGGCTGCTGTCTTTACATGACACAGTTGCAAGAGTCCCATGAGGTATCTGAGATAAAAATGCATTATCTTTACTTATTTGATTGGTGAAGAATGGTGTTGTGTATAACACTTCTCCGGGTCCTGCCAGGCGCAGGACTTTACACATCCCCTTAAAATTAAACTTGCACACATACCCTGTTTCATCTCTGCAGGATCGATCTATCCACTCCAATCTATTAGGCTGCGAGGGATGCAGAGTGTAATGCATAGCTACACAGCGTTCTTCTGTGCAAGTGCCTTGTGGTTCTTGCTGCCAGTTAGAATATTGCGAGTCCACCGCTCCGGATACCCAAGTGTAGCCTTTTAACACTTCATCGGTAAGAACACAATGTCCCTTTTCCAATTTTAGTCCAATCCACATTTCGAAGTTATGATCCAGATGTCCTTCTGTAATCCGAGAAAGTACAGACTGAATCTCCGATGCCTCTTCATTGGTCTTCAATGTCACTAAATTGCCCCCGTTGTCCTTGCAGTACTTTTGGGCACCTTGAAACGTTGTGTTTTTGTTTTGTAGGTGTGATGTGTAGCAGGCGCTTCCCGTGCACACAGTTTTCACTGTTTGAAGGTCCACTCTGTTTAACCTCCAAAGAAAAGACTGCAAAAGTAGTAAGAGAAGCACCATCATCCAGATTTAAGTAAAGGCTGCAAAAAGAATTTACGTTAGCAAATATCTTACTGCATGTGCTCTGCTAGACAAAGCCGTGTAAGTAATTAAACAAAACACACTTGCGTCCTTAAGCAACGCATCCTCTTCTGCATCCTGTTTATAAACGCAATCTTATATTCTATTCTATAAATTCAACGGAAGCCTAATTCAGTCTTTTGTTTTACCACTGAACATGAGTTCCGTCTTTGTAAAACAATGGATTTTGTTAAGTGTTGTTTTGAGTTCTGTTCCAGATGTTTGGATTTATAGGGCACTAAGGCATGAGTAGTGTCTGTATTCCTTTCAAAATAAGTATGATATTATATTTGTATTAATCTTTCTTTTATATAAGGCTTCATTACTCGAACGCTAAACACAATATGGAAGTTACGGTTCGTCTATTTTCAAAACTGCTTTTCACTAAGTGTAACAAATTATCAGTTCCTCATTTGTCCATTACATGTACAGTAGTACATTTACCGAATAGACTTAGAAAGTTATACTTTCTGTTGAATGAACTAATGCACTTCAAAGTTTTTAAAAATATTTTATTAGTCTATTAGTTATTAGTCTATGTAGCTGTGGGAAAAAACGTTTTTGTCATTTCGTTACAAATCTTAAGTGTAATCGTCCACCCAAGTATTTTTGTGTAGTTTGTGAATCATGCACTTATAATGCAGTTAGCAGAGGAGCATTTTGTTTTGTATTTGCAGTGCATCTAATAAATAATTATCTACTTTGGCAAGATAGAAAAGAGTTTTCATTAGTGCTACTTAATGGTGCCTGATTATATAAAAACCGTTTTTGTTTCAGTGTTAGCAGTTCTACAGTACATACATATTTGATCAAGCTAGGTTAATTATCCTCATGGCTAAGGGTACAATAGCTCAAGGAATAATATCAAATTGAGTATGTAATAAGTTTAATTATTTTTATATAAACCCTGGGAACATCATTAAAATGTACTATGTCAGGGATGTGCTCTTATTGCTGTTTTTTCTTTCTTTTGACCTATAGATACAGTCATTGCCAAAGCAAAAGTACTCCTAATATTGATATTGTCTCCAGAAATCTGATTACGTTTTAGAAATAAAACAACCTCTGTGATTTCTATTGTTTTAATAGTATGCCTCAACAATTACTTCAATTGTATAGATGATAATTGGTTTTAACACCTGGGACTATTTAAGGGTGTGGTCTGCCACGTACAGAAGCTGGAGTAAAGATATCAATATACTTTCTTTTGAGCCAAAGTTAAAACATTTATGTTTTTTTTAGTCCACCTCACTGAGACAAGTTTTATGGCTCCAGTGAGCTATTCATTTTCACACACATATTTATTTTAGTACACTTTGAATTGCCTTATCTGTACAATTTAATTGGGGGGATTCTTTTTTTATCATTGAGCTCATTTATAGTCATTTAAATTCTTTACATTTTTGGTTTTTAAATATAAATTAAATAAATATAGCCTATTTTAACTAGAGAATTAAAGGCTAATGCTATTAATAATGATTAAAAGGGCATGTAAATGAATATTCTGAAATGAATATTATTGGGTAAAACACAGTATATGACCATACAACAAGTAGTTATTACTATCAGGAGTGTTTGTTCCTTAACATGTGCACTAAAGCTGTCCAGCACAGCCATGCTGTGGTACTGTACATTTCAGTACTATCTGATCTCTGTGTGGCCAAGGTGACATAGTATCTCATAAGAATATTTGGTTCCTGAGACTTTCTGGGGGAGTGTCTACAGAGGATAATAACTGTCTATGGTCCATGCTTGCCAGCAGTCTTTTTTCAGAAGAGAAAGACAGAATTGGAAAGGCTTCAGCTGCACAGTCTTCAAATCTGCAAGAGGTCCTTCACTGTTGTCAATACAAGTGATGGTGCCACCACCCGCTTTTGCAGGGCACAACAGCACATTGGCAGGGCAAAGGCAAGGGACATGCCAGGATTTCTAGATAAAGGTAGAGAATATATATAAAGGGATGCTATTTTAAAACTGTATACAATCTATTAAGGATTTGTTTAGAATATTGTGTTGTAATTATGGTCATCACAATAGAGAACAGATATACTGTAGCTGCTTTGGAATCAGTCCAGAGTATAGTAATACATTCCAGGGGTTCAGTGAAAGTTCTACACTGACAGGCTGAAGGATTATAGAAGGATTCAAAATCCTCAAATTCACGTCAACACAGCAGATGTCTACAGAATGAACAGTGAAACACGACCCAGAAGACACAAAAGGAAACGTCATGGAAGTGTATTTAAAATCGAGAACAGGAGGCTCTTCTTTACCCCAAGGGTTGTGGGAGTATGGAACAAGCTACCCAGTCATGTTGTTGAAGTACCCAGGTTTCTTTTAATAAATAGCTGGACGAGCTCTGTGGAAAAATTAACTATCTAAAGGCTAAGAAGCCAAATAGCCTGCTCTCATTTTAACCAAATGTTCTCTATTTGTAACCTAAATTGATTTGATGATTTTAATGGAACTCTTGCACTGGAAACAACAATGTTTATTTACTCATAGCATATCAAATATTAAGAATTAAACTGATTATGTAGTATAATACATTTCTAACATATAAAACTTTAGTAATTTAAATGGTAGAGATTTATTTCTTTTCTTGCATGATATACATTTGCTGTTAATTGTTTATAAGGAGAAAATGGTAGACATTTTGTTTGAATGATTGGGAGTGTCTTTCTGAAGTCAAAATAATTGTTTTGGTGTGTTTTTGCATCAGAGCAAGTCCTGTATTGTTGAACAATTTCCTTCAGGACACAAAGGTCGGTTTTCCTGAAAGGGATGTTCATTATTCAGCAGGAAAGGAGGGTGGCCGACTTGTAGTGATTAATGTTCCTGTCAGGCTCCTTTAGGCGACAAATACAGCTCACCAACTTACTCAGCTTTTGATTTAAATCTAAATGTTATATTTCAGAATGAAGTGGTGCCATCTCTTGTTGGAGACCTGAAATTGTCACCATTTTTGTAACACGGATGAATCACAAGTAGCCTGTAACAGAAGGTGAAATCACCCTTTACAAACCTGGATTACACTGAATTCTGTTGCAGCAGGGGAGACGGTATTTTGGTGGGGCAGAATTCTGCATTGTCTGGGAGACAATTGTTGTACTGTTGCCATTGCATAGCTGTGGCTGAATCCCAGGAGGGGCAAAGCTGCATTCCTCACAAAGTAATTATTTATGGATGTTAACTGTTACTTGCGAGATAATTACTTTAGCTTTAGTATGAGGTGCATTTGGTCACATCTCTTTCTCCCATATGTACAGTACAGAAATTTATGAGTCTCTGAATATCCTTGTGAGCACAGTTTACTCACTTATCATGAAAGAGCCATCCCTCCAAACTGAGCAGCCAGGTAAGGAAGAAACTGGAGAGAAATACCACTCTGAGACCAATGATAACTTTGAAAGAGCAAGAGAGATCAGTAGCTGAGATGAGAGGAAATGTGCATCAGTCAACAATGAAAAGGTTTATTCCATGCTGAAAAGAGAAGAAAGAAAACATGAAAACTCACACCTGAAGAAGGCTTCACAGCCAAAATGTGTTTTCTTTCTTCTCTTTTCAGCATGGAATAAACCTATTACTTGTTCCTTTGCAGCCTATGCATGGTGACACAGCCACCCACCTGAACTACATCAGTCAACAATACCCTGGTCATCCCACAAAGTGGGTCTGTAAGGCAGAGTGGCACACCCATTTCAAATCCCATAGATAGTTTGCCATAAAGCATTTAAAGTGATACTGCAAGCATGTGGAGAAAGGTTTTATGTTCAAGAGATACAAAACTGGAACTGATTTGTGCAAATGCATAACACTGCATCTGGCACAAAAACAATACAGTGCCTCACCCTGTCAACCCCATCCCTACATCCCTACCAGCTTAGTGGCTGCAGCATCATGCTGTAGGGATGCTCCTCCTTAGCAGGGAAGAGAAAGCTTGCCTGAATAAAAAGGAGAAATACATAAAATAGAGTACAGGCAAATAGTAGTGGAGAACCTACTTAAGTCTGCTACCTACTCACAAATCACATTCACCTTTCAGTACGACAATGATCCAAAACTGTACTAGTGTGGCATAAAACTAAGAAAGTGAATGTCCTTGAGTGACCCAAGCAAAGTCCTGACTTACATCTTATTAACAATCTTTGGAAAGAGTTGAAACCTGTATTGTGCATCCATTATTATAACTGAAGGTTCTGTGTCAGCCTGCAGAGTCAAGCATAATTCTATCAGGCTCAGTCTGAGTCTTCAGATGAATGTGAAGCCCGATCCTACAGTTGACAATCATAGTCTTTAGCAACGGGTCATGCTTTTGCATGGGTAGTAGAATTCACAGCCATTCACAGCCACAGTCATAGTCAGTCTTCTTTCCAACATCACTAATATTCCACTTCTGAGTTCAGTTGTCTGGCTACACACCATGCCAAGTGATTTTGGCATTTTGTTCATTTTGTTCCTCCCATTCAAGGGTATCAATGCCACTGTGCATCAGTGCATACATTTACTGTATTTACAGTATACCATCTCCTTTGGCCGTACTTTTTTGAAAATTCAAACACTGTAATGAGTATATTTCTTAGCGTTTTTAGTGTAGTTATTAAATAAAAGTTTAGAATCTTTAAACTCTGTGGTTTGATCAACACTTTTTGTTATCCATTTGGAATATACTGTATTATGGTGTCCTTTGATATGGAACATTGACTTTTAAACTTGATCTTTCGTAAACAATTCACAAGACCTTTCCCAGTCTTGATTCAGGTGTTAAAATTCATTTAAGGACATGAGAAATTATATCCAGAAAGACTACATCAGGAAGAAGAAGGAAATGCAAGCAGTGCTGTTTTGGGATTAAATTCAGATGTATTTGCTTTTCATAAAAGGGATAAACTACCTAATCAGTCTGTACAACTTTCATTTGGATTGTTCAAAAGTGTAGATTGAGAAAGCTCTTGCTTCAGTTAACTGCTAACAATGGAAGAAGGGACATAATCTAGATCATTTGGTTACTAGAAGCTACTGTAATTAATACAAGGCTCTCATCCACTCATTTCATGACAGAAGTCAGGGAATTAAATAAAAAAAAATGGTTAGAAAACTTGTTCCAGCCTCCACAGACCTTTGTATAAAAA